TCTGTCCCAGCCGGAACCAGGACAATCATACAATACAAAACATTGAGTACAAACTGTACGATACCTAAAATACAACACAAAATACAATACGATACAAAATACAATACAATACAAACAATACCAAGAAGACACAGTACATAAGTACAATAGCATATCATACAATACATACAATACATACAATGCAATACAAAATAACAATACAAAATAGAAAACACAATACAAAACACAATATATAAAACATGATACATAAAATACCCTACAATACACACAATACCCTATGAGACACACAATACAAAACAATGAAATACCCACAATACCCACAATACCATACCATACCATACATATCATACCATACAGTACACACAATATATTATACAATACAATAAACAGTACAACACAAAATAAAATATATAATACAACAGAAAATACAATAAACAATACCACACAAAATACATTACAATACATGATAGAACACAATACAAAAAATAAATGCCATCTGATATAATACAATACATACAATACAATACATACTGTACAATACAATACATATCATACAATTCATACTGTACCATACAATACAATACAAAACAATCAATACAACACATACCATACCATGCAAAACATACCATACCATACAATACATACCATACAACATATACGATACAATACATACCATACAATATATACCATACCATACCATACAACACGGGCACCTACTGGGACAGGTGCTCTAGCAGTGAGGCTGCAGGGGCTCTGCCAGGTGCTGGGAGCTCCGGTGAAGCCGAGGACGCAGCTTTCTGCCCACTGCCACATGCCTTCACGCTGCCATGACTGTTGGCATTGACCATGTTGATTGTTTTGGCCTGCTTAACTCTCCTGTGTGGCCGGGTGCAGGCTCTGCCCGATGCTGGCTCCGTCCGTTGCTGGCTCCGCCCATTGTTGGCTCTACCCGTTGCTGGCTCCGCCCGTTGCAGGCTCTGTCCGTTGCTGGCTGTGCCCGTTGCTGGCTCTGTCCATTACTGCCTCTGTCCATTGCTGGCTTGT